GAGAGAGAGAGAGAGAGAGAGATCTTCTTAACTGTAGGAGGATGCAGAAATCAGGAGAATTTGGCAGGGGTTCTTTGTCTAAAAGAACTATCAGGTCTTATCAGGAAAAAAGGAGAAAAATCCTTCTCACTATTTTATGACTCTCTCTCACCTGTTTTGAGCTTGGGAGAGAAAGAAACAGATACATGATGGGGGGGAGAAGAGATCAATTTCCCACTTCCCTCTCCCTGAATCCCCTTCTCTTCTGTTCTCATTCCCTGCCCCCTTATAATCACATGTCCTTATGCTTTTAATTTATGGATGCCAGCAATAGTCCCAGGGAGTCAGAATTCTGTTTCCTGGGCTTTTAATGTGCAGCATGAGGACCACCTTCATAGAATCATAGAATAATGGAGCTGGAAGGGTCCTATAAGACCAGTGACTTCAAGCCCCTGCTCAGTGCAGGAATCCAAGTAATGCCAAGACATCCACCAAACTGCCCTGTATTACCCCTTGATTTAAAATATTTTAATCTTGCAGTACATGTCTAATTAAAGAATGAAGGCTGCAATGAAGGTTTGCACTCTTTAATTTACATTCTGTAGTCTGCAGTTGCACCAAGGGACCACCTTCAATGTTTGATAAAACTTATTTCTGGATATGGTGTTCATGGAATTGTTGTTGCCTAACAATGCAAATGAATGCAGTACTGCAGTCAAGCTTCTGCTCACAACTTGAGTTCAGTCCCGACAGGTTCAAATACCTGTATAAAGGTTGACTCAGCCTTCAATTCTTTTGAGGTTGGTAAAATGAGTTGGAGGGGGGCAAAAGTGTTGTTTACATAATTATGTTTTAAACCTCCCAGAGAGTGCTCTGGCGCTATAGGGTGGTACACAAGTCAAAACAACAACAACACCTAACTAACCAATAGGATTCTGACCTCAGCTAATTCCGTTTATGTCTACCTGTTGTAGTTGATCTTTGCTTATCCTAATGTAAGAAGACAGCCAATGTGAAAGTGGAATTAAAATTTAATATAACTTCCCGGATTGTTCAAAAGAGGACATCATTAACTGATTGTGTAACCTTGTGGCTCAGTAAGTCAGATGTGGCCTACCAGTTGTGTAGAGGCCGTTGTTAACAACATGCATTGCAGGACGTTGTTTGTACCTGATAAGCTATTTTGGCTAGGCAAGTAAATGTTGTGCAGAACTGGAGTAAATGTATTTATTTATCATATGTTTACACAGTTCTTTATCAGAAAAGATTCCAGGCAACGTATGATAGAAATAATTATTTAAAAAAACAAATACACTACAATTAGATTATACAGCAGAAGATTGTAAATTGTGAAACATACCAGAACCAGCTACTGTTTTCTTGTTGGACAAGTTAGTGGAAATTGCTTCTAAATAAGCTATCTCTGAGCATTGGCTAGCAGAAGTATACTTGTTTTCAGAAATTAGAAATAGATTGGAAGAATGGAAATAGAAAAAAGGGCCATCTTTTTTTGCTTTAATGTGGGGAAAAACTTTCACAAAGTTGCATGGACAAACCAGAAATCATGAATCAAACATTAGTCTATAAGGTGGTTCTTGATTCTTTGTTGTAGTCTCTAGTTGAATACAAAGAGCAAATTCCTGTTGCATAAATTTGTGTTGATATAACCAGAATGGGTGCCGGAAATACTTAATTTAAGCTAATGGGAAGCTTCCTATTCCCCCTTCCCGTTTCAGCTTGCAAGAACTCCCTTTTTGCCATGAGGAGCAAAAAGAACTTTAATAGTCAAAAATCACTACTGACCTGCCACCTCTTGGTGGCAGAGATTCAGAGGTATACAGTATATATACATATTTACTACTAAAGGCTCCCTTATATATATCCCTTTATAAATTTATAAACATAAATTTATGTTTATGCAGACATAAATTTATGCAACAGGATTTTGCCCTATGTTTTGAGAAGTGTGTTCAGATTATTGCTACTAAGAGAAGTGAATTAAAATACATGTTTAGAGGAAGGCTGCATGGAAGAGCATGCTGCTTGCCCTTTGGCAGCAGCTATATCCATTTGCAGCCTTGATTTACATAGTCATTTTGAAAATATAGTGCAGCAAATTTGGAAGCATGTTGTGATATCTTTTTAGTGAATGATCTGTTCTATGTTCCATCTGAATATCAGTGTTTCTAATTCCATTTGAGTAAACTTGTTAGTCTGTGGTATGAAAAGCAAGATAGGACATTACTGTAGTAAGATAGGACTTTTAATACTAAGAACACTCAGTGTTTTTAATTCCATTTGAATAAACTTGTTAGTCTGTGGTATGAAAAGCAAGACAGGACATTAGTAAGATAGGACTTTTAATACTAAGAACCAAACTATATGTTACAGAGAGCTTGTCATTAGAAGCTGAAATCACATCAGTGTTCCAGAAGCCCAAGTTTGGTCAATCTTCTTGTCTATGCAGTTATACTATTTACCTCACAGTCATCAATCACAAAACAAAGAAAAGTAAGCTAACTTCCAAATGATGAAAAGACTTTTTTTCTGAACACAAGGGCTGTTCTTTTTTTAATAGTGGACTGTTGGTAATACATAATTTGATGTCAACAAGGTTGTTGTAGTGTAAACTGTAGTGGACTACTGGAGTCCATTTTGTATGTGATACTGAAAGGTAGCACAATATGCTTGGTTCAAATTTCTGATGTAATATGATTATACTTAGATTGCATGTGCAGTTGTACTCTTTTTAAAGAACCACAAGTATGTGCGTTTCCTTTTCTGTTTCAAAGAATGGAGAAAAAGCAGCACCACCGGGTGAAATAACCTGTCCTCCTGGCTGGATGTGGGATGATGATGCTTGGATATATGACATCAATCGAGCAGTCGATGAAAAGGGTAAGGATATGTGAATTTACTGTATGCTCTATTAGAGTCTTAGCTGCCATATTAGACACAGAGACAGAGCCCACTTACATTGAGCAATACATATTTAATCTGTTTTGTTTTAGGTTGGGAATATGGTGTCACCATTCCTCCAGACAATAAGCCAAAGTCATGGGGTGCAGCAGAGAAAATGTATCATACTCACAGAAGAAGAAGGCTGGTTCGAAAACGCAGAAAAGACCCAAATCAAACAGTTTCATCCAAGGTAAAACAGCAAAACATTGTTATTTGTTGAAAGCAATGGATGTGGGGTTGAAAATAAAAGAGAGTCAGACAGGGGTTTTTTTAAAGGTTGTTTTAATTGTTTGTAATTGAACCTATAGTTTGTTAGTGTGAATTGTGGCCTGGTGATTATCTTCTAGGCAGCTCCATCTTATGGAGATAAAGAAGGATGGGAGTTTGCATCTTTGATTGGGTGGAAATTTCACATGAAGCAGCGCAGTTCCGACATCTTCCGACGCAGACGCTGGAGGAGAAAAATGGCTACTTCAGATGCGTATGGTGCAGCGGCCATTTTTAAGCTTGAAGGAGCCCTTGTAAGTGGGAACAGTTGGCCATTGCTAACTTGTTCATTGTCATTTTACTTGCATAATAATCTCAAAGTTTAGTTATAATGAGCATGTGGTGCTGCTGTGTTTAATCTGTGTCTCAGTGCACAGTATGTTTTAGGTACTTTATCTATCTGTATACTCTTAGGGAGCAGATCCAAGTGCTGATGATGAAGACAAGGCTTCTGAGAAGAGCAGAGATTCAGCAACACACACCTTTGGTGCAAACACTCCAATAATCTCTTGCAATTTTGACAGTAAGTTCGTCTGAAATTCCATATTTGTGGCTGTTTTCTTAACAATGACATAGAACTTCTGATTCTTGCTCCGCAACTACTCTTCTAGAAATCTTCCCTCTTCTAGACACCTGCCTCCCCTGGAATACTTTCTAGGACCACAATGCAAACCTTGGAACAGGGAGACAATACTTGCGCGGGGGAAAATATGCTATCATTGGCTCCTCCCATGTGATCTTCCTGATGGAACTGTTATTGCAGTAGCTTGAGAAATTATGATACAAAAGTGGCACCACACCATTCCCACAATGGATGTCTAGCATATTTTTAGATGCTGAGGTTTGTAGGAAAATGTGCTGTACCTTTTCCGCTATGTTTCTGCAGCAATTTGACAAATTCTGTAAATCAATCACCAGTTGTTTTATCAGCCATCAAGGCACATTGCTTATTAAACAGAACAGCAAAAGAAAAGCTAGAGTTTTACGTCTGCAGATTTGTATCTCTAGTATGTGAGACAGATGGATTTATGGTGGGTTTTTTTCTTTACAGTATCACATTTGGGTTGTTGTTTTTGTTGTTGTTTAGTCGTTAAGTCATGTCTTACTCTTTGTGACCCCATGGACCAGAGCACGCCAGGCCTTCCTATCTCTCACTGCCTCCCAGACTTTAGTCAAACTCATATTGGTAGCTTCGATGACACCGTCCATCCATCTCATCCTCTGTCATCCCCTTCTCCTCTTGCCTTCACACTTTCCCAATATCAGGGACTTTTTCAGGCATTCTTCTCTTCTCATGAGATGACCAAAGTATTGGAGCCTCAGCTTCAGGATCTGTCCTTCCAGTGAGCACTCAGGGCTGATTTGCTTCAGAATGGATAGGTTTGTGCTCCTTGCAGTCCAGGGACTCTCAAGAGTCTCCTCCAGCACCACAATACAAAAGCATCAATTCTTTGGCAGTCAGCCTTCTTTATGGTCCAGCTCTCACTTCCATACAACACTACAGGAAGCTTTGCCTATGTGGACCTTTGTCAGCAAGGTGATGTCGCTGCTTTTTAAGATGCTGTCTAGGTTTGTCATCGCTTTCCTCCCAAGAAGGAGACATCTTTTAATTTCGTGGCTGCTGTCACCATCTGCAGTAATCATGGAGCCAAAGAAAGTGAAATCTGTCACTGCCTCCATATCTTCCCCTTCTCTTTGCCAGGAGGTGGTGGGACCAGTGGCCATGATCTTAGTTTTTTTGATGTTGAGCTTCAGACCATTTTTTGCACTCTCCTCATTAAGAGGTTCTTTAATCCCTCCTCACTTTCTGCCATCAGAGTGGTGTCATCTGCATATCTAAGGTTGTTGATATTTCTTCTGGCAATCTTAATTCTGGTTTGGGATTCCTCCAGTCCTGCCTGTCGCATGATGTACAGTGGTGCTTCCACTTATGACGATAATCCATTCCAGAAGATGGATGTAACTCAAAATGGCTGTAAGTCGAAGCACCATTTCCCATAGGAATGCATTGAAATGCAGTTAATCCGTTCCAGACGAAGAAAAAAATCACAAAACAAAATCACTGCAAGACTCATTGGAAACACGGTTAACCCCTTCCAACTGAAGGGGGGGAAGAAAAGCAATCAAGCATGCAAGACCCATTGGAAATGCACAGAAAACAAATGGCGCATATCCAAAATGCACAGAGAACAAAGGAAAAACAAGGAAGCATGCAGGACCCATCAGAAATGGGGAACCCCCCCAAAAGCAACCAACCCCCAAGACCCATTGGAAATGGGAAAAAACACTCCAAATAGCAACAAAAACCTCCAAGACCCATTGGAAATGAGGAAAACCCCAAAAAACAAACAAATCCCCCAAGACCCATCACAGCACAGAAACATAACCCCCTAGCTCAAAACCATGCTGCAAAAACACCCAGAACAGTTTTTAAAAAGCAGAAAACAGCACCTTACCTTACAAGGCAGCCCAAAGCCTCCCCACAAACACACACACACACTCAGAAGTAGGGGGCGGCAGTTCCAAGCCTCCTCTGATTGCACCCTCTCTAACTGCTGGGCGAAAGAGCTACAAAGAAGCAGCCTTGTTGCCCCCTACAGTTAACAATTTGAATTTCCTGCCTTTTCCCCCTGCCTTTTTCTGTTCGTAAATGGAAGCACCAGTTGCAAGTAGAAGCAAAATTTTGCAGCCGGAGCTGTTCGTAACTCAAAATGGTCATAAGTAGGGACGGTTGTAAGTCGAGGCTCCACTGTAAGTTAAATAGGCAGGGAGACAATGTACAGCCTTGTCGTACTCCTTTCCCAATTTCGGGAACAATCAGTTGTTCCATATCCAGTTCTAACTGTTGCTTCCTGACCCACATATAGTTTTCTCAGGAGATGGATAAGGTGGTCAGGCATTCCCATTTCTTTAAGAACTTGCCATAGTCGAGACCCCACTGTACAAGAGAAAAGGTGAAGTGGAGACCAAGTTTGCCTGACTGGTTATTTTATTTTATTCTATTTCATTTTTTAGGAGTCTACACTTACCACCTCCGGTGTTACATCTATCAAGCAAGAAATCTTCTGGCATTAGACAAAGACAGCTTTTCAGGTACATGCAATTGAGGGGGAGATCTGTGAAATTTAGAGGTTTCCTGCACCTCTAATGGCAAGTCTGTTCTTTTCCTTAGTGAATGATAGCTTCTTTAATACCTGTGGTGATTTGAGCTGTTTACTTCACTCTTTTTTTTTACTAGAGCCCTGCAGCTCCAGAATGTTGCCAACGCTTGCATTCCTCCTTTCCTATAATCTTCTTACATTGTGCTGACTGAAAGATCAGTGCAGCTGAAAGATCTAACACTGAGATGAGGTAGCGGCAGCTCTTAATTGTAGGGCAGAATTTGGGAAAGAAGAGGTATCCCATTCCACTGATTTTTAAAAGCCCTGCCTGCTGAACCTTCCCCAGACCCCACTTTCATTAAGAGTGCATCCTAATTCCCAGACACTAAAATATACCATGTAACCAAAGCAATATGTGTCTGCTAGGAGAAAAAACGCATTTCAAAATGTGCACATACCCAGACGTGTTGCTCAAATAACAGAAGCAGATGAAAATTCCAAGGCTTTTCTCTCTTAATATGTTTATTAATGATCCCCTCCCCCCCCAATGTATGCACACAAAACTTAAATACAAGCACTGTATGTAATGCCCCCATTAGATCCCTTGTTAAAGGACTGGTGAAGATGACCTCCAGATAACCTTTTAAATAGCCTAGGGCAGTAGGCAATGGCAATTTGTACAGGAAATGTTAATAACCATCATCACAGACCTTCTTCAGAGGCCCCAGCAATTTAAATGTGTTTCTAACAGTAGGACTAGAACCCTTTAATCATTGGCCTCTACTTCAGAAGAAGGACAGGTCGTAAATAAGTACGTTTTTGACTTATGTCAAAAAATATAAACATATTGTTTTGGAGTTACCCACAAAAACATGTACAGAGCCTGAGGGAGGTGAATTGTCATCAAAAGATTGCTATTTTTTGTGGAGGGGTTTTTTGTTTTATTTATTTTCTTAATGGTCTAATAAAGGTATCATCTATTCCTTCATTTGTATTGTCAAATTTATGTGTGAGGGTTGTGGAGTTAATTGTTGAAGCTGAAAATTAAACAACCTGTGAGTTTTGTTCCTCAGCCAAAGTATTGAGGAATGTTTTACCCTCTACTGGAGCAATTTTAAAAAGATGTGTCAAAATGCTGAAAATCACATCTTTAGCATCTTCATTTTCATTCAAAAAAATAGGATCCATAAGATTGTACTGCATGGGTGACCTGCAGTATATTGCCTTTGCATTGGCATGTTTAGAACTGTTCTCACTTCTGTGCTGATGGTTTCATGGCATGTGGTAAAAACAATTGCCTGCTATAAAAGGATGAAGTAAGGTAGTCTTGATGGCTTGCAAAGATTGGATTGAACTGGCACCCCAGATGTCCATCTAATAGGTATGAGTGTTTGTGTAGCTTGAAGGTAACATTGTGGGTTAAATAAAATGCCTGATTCCAACCCTTGACAGGTAGAGACGATGGGCATATGAGGACAAAGGGCATTTGAAAGAGAGGGATGGAGGAAACGTTGCTTACACCCCTCTTTATCTCCATCACACGAGCATAAGAGAAATATTACTTTGTGTCACTATTGTGGTAGTTAAAGGGCTTTCAATAACTTGAGAGAAAAAATCAAGTCTGCATTGTGGGCATGACTTCATATGCTAATAAGGAAGGGACTTTCATACAAACTAGCAGAAAGCAATTGCAAAGCCAGTGTCTGGTCTGAAGACATAGTGGTGCTGTTACAGTAGACATCGGAAGAAATAAAAACAGGATTGTACAGCCTCTCTCTCTCTCTCTCTCTCTCTCTCTCTCTCTGTATGTGTGTTTGTGTGATATTCTCTTTCTGTGTTATTGTAGATCCATATGCTCATGTTTCATTCCTCCATCGGAGCAAAACAACGGAGATAATCCACTCAACGCTGAACCCAACCTGGGATCAAACCCTCATCTTTGATGATATCGAAATCTATGGTGATCCCCAAGCAGTAGCTGAAGAGCCTCCTCAGTTGGTGGTTGAACTCTTTGACAGTGACCAAGTGGTAGGTGGAAGCTTCTCTTCAGTTCTGTCCTGACTTAATGTACAAAAATAGAACAACCAATTCACCCTTTTGTTCAGGGCAAAGACGAGTTCCTTGGAAGAACCTCCTGCTCTCCTATGGTGAAACTCAATCCAGACATCGACATCAGTCCAAAGCTTCTTTGGTATCCAGTTATGAATGGAGGCAAAGCTTGTGGAGATCTGCTTTTAGCAGCTGAGCTTCTTCTAAATGAAAAGGTAATGTGAAACAAATGTACTTATTTCTGATTTAGAGGCATCTTAATAAGATTATTGCCAAGCCTTTATGTAAACTCTTTGTTTATCTCTAATCAGGGTGGTACTGACCTCCCGATTCTTCCATCACAAAGAGCACCAAACCTTTACATGGTGCCACAAGGAATCAGACCTGTTGTGCAGCTGACCGCTATTGAGGTATTGTGATTGTTGCTTAAAAATGCACATAACCCAAGAGCCACATGGATGTTATTGGATAACCTAAGGCCAAGTTTATGACTAAAGCTTCACAAAAGAACATTCTGCAGGCATGAAGTCAAGTGCTAGTGCAAAAGCATATGTGAGGCAACAGAATTAATGAGGTCTATTTCAAACAGAATGCACAAAGCTGAAAACAAATCTGAATATGATAGTCTTTGAATAATATTGACCTGTATTATAATGGCTGGAATTTGACTGGGAGTTTACAAGCTGCCAACTCAAATAACGCTTCAGTCATAACCTTGGCCTTAGGTTATCCAATATTTCTCAGTCATAAATCTAAAACTGTAATATAAAATATGTCATAAGACCTGAGTGCTTATACAAAGGCCAAAATCCTTTTGTTTAGCATAGTAAAATGCACTCGAGTAGATCCATTGAATCAATAGGGTATAGTGAGTTAAGTAATCCATAGGAATTCCTAGATGTTTGAATTTGGCAGTGGGGAGGCTGGAGGGTTTTGTCTGCTTTGCATTTTGAGGTGAACTGACCTGATTTGCACATCTAAAATTAGATATGAACCCTTTTATTTTTTTATCTGAATTTCTTCAAATGTTATGATGTTGCTTAGAAAATGCATTGAAATGCATATAAAAATGCAGGCTTTATGCTTAAATACCTACAAAATGGACATTTTTTGCAGTAATATGCATATAAAATGCATTACACTAAAATGTGCTAAGAATTCATGCACAATTTTATGATAATTTCTCCCTTGAAACCCATATTCCATATTAATACAGAAGGTGAATAGTACAAAACATACAGTATTTGCAAGCCAATGCATGTTAAACTGATACAGCACTTTCCAAAAATAGGTTAACTATACCTTGACGTCATCACATTAATATAATGCAAAAATAATTGGAATGTTTTGGCCAGTGAAATAATTTTTTAAATTATACAATGCATATAATGCTTTCTGCCTGTATAGACATACTGTAAATATGTACAATGCTTCTTTTCTTTGCCTGTGTTCCAATGTATGTTAAACTGATACAGCACTTTCCAAAAATAGGTTAACTATACCTTGACGTCATCACATTAATATAATGCAAAAATAATTGGAATGTTTTGGCCAGTGAAATAATTTTTTAAATTATACAATGCATATAATGCTTTCTGCCTGTATAGACATACTGTAAATATGTACAATGCTTCTTTTCTTTGCCTGTGTTTATTAATTCCTTGAGTTGATTTTATCATAATTTTTTTCCTTTAGTAATATCTATGAAACCTGGTGGTGGAGTTGTTTGTTTGTTTTTTTATCATAGATCCTTGCTTGGGGCTTACGCAACATGAAAAATTATCAGATGGCTCCTGTTACTTCTCCTAGTCTCATTGTGCAGTGTGGAAGTGAAATGGTAGAATCTGTAGTAATAAAAAACCTGAAAAAGACACCAAATTTCCCTGGATCTGTTCTCTTCATGAAAGTGGTATGATGCTGAAATATCTATTACTGTACATATGTCTGGTATTGGTAACGAGAAAGGGTGTAGATGGGAAAACAGGTGAAGATAGCCTAAAGAAACTTATCCTGATGGAGAAAATTAAGCATTTCCAGGACTACCTTCTGTGACAAAGTATGTGCAGGAGCATAAACAACAGTTCAGCCCAAAGCCACGAAGCTCTGATAAAGTGGCTTACACACGCATTGGTGTACAAGTGTTGCACATTCTGCTAGTTTCGTATGTATTGTCAGTTGAATCTCTCATCCACCCTGAGAGTTTGGTTTGTTTGTCTGAATTAGCATCTGTGCATACCACAATCTCTGTATGCAGAGTGCAGGTTTCTGGGTCAGTCTGTTGTTGGTTATTATTGAAATAGATGCAATAGGACAACTTTTTTGCATGCATGTGATAACTTTGCCTCCATAAAAGCTAAATCAGAACAAAAAAAGTTGAAATGGTTGTGTTCCTCATTTGCATCAGGAACACAAAAATAATTATTCCATTCTGTTTTTTTAAAAAAAATTAATAGCAATTATATATACTTTGTGCATACTAAAAACCTCGAATAAACATTTGCAACACAGAGACCCAAATTTTCTATTCAAGCTATCAAAGGGCACTAGACTGAAACTGACAGAATCATGTTGTATGTGGTCTAAGGGCCAATGTGCAGGAGATGCATGGTTGGATCTCCCAATATTCTCAGTTTTTTTTAAAAAAAAACTTTAAGGGATGATCCAGATGTTGTTGGGCTACACCTCCTGGGAGTCTTAACCAGCATAGCCAATGATGAGGAAGGAGTGCTAGGAGTTGGAATTAGCAAAATCTGGAGGGACTCCCTCTGCACACTTCTTAGTTAGAGCAAACCAATGTAGGTGTTAATTTTTATTGGAACCATATTGTTTGAGGAGAAGGAGTTAACCCTTTGCCAGTTTTCTCAGGCTAAATATTTCCCTTGCCCTAAATCTGCTGGTAGTCCAATTGCAAGGGGGGGAGGGATTGTACATTATGTTTTCCGCCATTGAACTAACATAAATGTTGTGGCAGGCAATTTTGGCCAGGTGATAGTTTCGGACCCCTGTGCCAAGACCAGTGACGGCTTCACATTTTCCAGCACTAGAACATGGGTGAAATAGAGATGCTGGAGGAGAGCAGAACAGATTGCAAAGGAAGAAATTAGGAATGTGAGATGATTTAGCACTCCTTATCTGTGTACCTCCTATCCTCTTAAAATTGGCCTACCTGCAATCTATACTATAAGATGATTAGTAGATTATCACATTTGAACTCTATGAAAACCAAAACTTTTTTTCAGTTCAGTTGAAAAGACCCTATTAGAATCCTGATTTTAAATTTAAAGAAATGTGTAATGTTGTTGTCTTAAATAGCTTTTGCCGAAGGAGGAATTGTACACTCCATCACTAGTTCTTAAAGTGATCGACCACCGGCCATTTGGCCGTAAACCTATCGTGGGACAATGTACCATTGATTTACTGGAGCATTTCCGCTGTGATCCATACGCTGCTAAAGAGGACATTGCACCACAGATGAAAGGTAGGACTCCCATAAAAGCAAATCTGTGTTTCCTGGCAGATGTAGGCTTTGCTACTATACTCTCCACCCAGTCCACTGAAAACATCTCCAGACTCAGCTCCCTTGAAATAAATGAGCACAACAGAACTTTTGTGCAGAACCATTCATTTGTGAGGTTTGGGGAAGCAATGCGTTCAAGGCATTGTGCTCTGTAGTTTTAGCCTATTAAAAAACAACACCCAGTATTAGTCACAAGGGAAAAAGAAAGTTTGGCACAGGATTTAAGAAAAATGGCAATATGTGCAAAAGAATATTATAGCTGTCACTGTGTCTCACCTTTCTAATTCTGCTACACTGAATTCTATCATTAACTCTGCACAAGTGAGACCTGGAACAAAACTTTGCAGGATTTCAAAAGGAAGAGTTTTTCCATTTTAGTTTCCAAGATTCCAACTAGTCCATTCTCCATTCCCCCAGATTCTATTTTTATTCCATGTCAATTGACCATGTTCATTGATGGTCATCACTGTGCTGTCTGTGGAGTTTTCTGCCATAGAACCTTTTCCTTAAAGTCTTCTTTTTAGTCCTGCTTCCAATCTTGGCATTCTGGTAGTCATAATGTCACCTCCTCTTATCGGTGAGTAATGCTGGTGTGGCCACAAAAGCGATGGCCTCATAGCCAGCATACTGGAAATATAGGGCAGGGTTTTCTTTCTCTACTAGGAAATAAGCCTGTGTTTGTTACATTTATACTCTGCTATTCAGCCAAAATTGGCTCCCCAGTCAGTTTATAGTTAAAATCTACTTAAAGTACAATATCACAAGGCACACATAATGCGGGGAGCAGGCTAAGTCTTTGCAGTGGATGATACTGTCCCAGTCAAAGGAAGATGACAGAAAAGTGAAGGAAGTGGGGAAAATAAAAGCAGGAAAAGGACAAAAGGCTTACAAATGTATCCAATTTTTCACACATTTTTTGTTTGCTTTGCAGTTAGCCTTCTAGCAGCTGCACCTCGGCAGGATGTAATAATTGAGGTGGAAGACACACAAAACTTACTAACAGCACAGGTAACCTTAATTTTGTTTTCCTATTTGCCGTGGTTGAGTAGGGCATTTTAACATACGTCCTCCAGCACAAGCCTAACTTGAGGAAATATCTGTAAAGGTGCAACTGTACCGCAAGAAAAATGTGAATGGCTATGCGGTGAACTCACACCCGGGTTAATTTGCTTTAAGTAAACACACAGGAGTCAGCAGAAAGAAGAGAAAATTGGCAATCAGCCTTGTTTGCAGTTTGTTATGGTAGCTCTGCTGGAGTTGCAGGAGTCATGGTTACAGCAGACCTACCTTAGCAAGCTGCAAACAAGGTTAATTAATAATTTCCTCCTCTTTTTCTGCTGACTAATCTTTTTTCCCCTTTGTTGACTTAGCTGCCCAAGCATAGGAAAGAAGGAAACAAGCAAGGAAGGAAGGAAAACAAGCAGACCTGAGCACCAGATTTGGAGAGTAGAGGATTAAAATGGCAGCCAGTATCCCTGCTGCCTTGCCTCTCTCACTGCTGTGATCTGGATCTGATGTGAATACATTTGCTACAAAAAAAGTAGAAGCCCCAGTGGTAGAGGAAGAAATTCAAAAGGGGGCAGGAATTCAGGCTGATTCACATTGACTTGTATGTCATATAGTTAATGGAAAACAATGTGAATCTGACTGTCCCAATCCTGGGGAGTTTCCTGTATTACTTGCTAGTATAGTCACCTCCTTAGAACATGCTGAGAGCTCTGGCCAGGATCCGGTAGGATGTGGTGTACTTCTAATGATGGACCTCCTTCTGTTGGCAAAATCAGCACAAGGCAATCCGACTCATGACTGCAGCAATTTTGTGTAGCCTAGAGGACTTTAGGTAGGAAAGGAGGCAAAGGAAACTCTGCCACTCTAACACTTGGCTGCCAGTAAGATCTTGTGTCTATCCTTTGAGGAGACACTTTATCAATATATCTGACGGCTGCCAAGAAGGGAGAAAAGTGCTCTTGCCATTCTTCCAGTCTTAATAGTTAGTTTGTGTGTGTCAATGACAATGTCTTTCTTGTGTATGCTTATGCCATTCTTTGTCTCCTAGCAGCTTTAATGCATACTTGCTGTGTGCAAAACTATTCAGTGAATAAGTTGATGAATGTTTGAGCTATAGCTTGTTCACTGGCAGTTCTTGAATTTAAATATCTGAAATATTTATTAGATTTGATGGAACGTAGAAATACAAACAAGGTTCCCGCTCAGGTGCTGTTGGAAGCAGTACATGTGGACCTCCCTGTTCCTTCCTCCATGACCAGGCAAAATGAACGGTTTGACTTAGAGGCGCTTTGTGGGAGTCTGAATCGAAAATGGCCATTTAGGAACTTTAGAATAATTTTCTATCAGTATTTAAATACTTACTGTTATTTAAGGTAAATTGAACATCACCATGAGAACACCTGCCAGTCAACTGCTTGGCAAGATTGTTCATCAGGAGCAAATACGAGTGCAAAAACAGAGATTTAATGCACTTTTACAAGTTTGCATGGTGCATGTTGAAAATGTTCAAGGTTCATCATTTAAAATGCAGCCTTCAACACTTTAAAACTGTGATTAATCTGTTTCCTCTTTATAACCATAGGGTTGTTTTAAACTCCTTGTGCCTTGCTTTGAAATTTCCCGCCGCCTACTCTGTGCCTGCCGTCCCATTATAGCCTTTCATGTAATGTTGCTGCCCTTTAATTGTACCAAATGGAGAGAGCCAATTAGATGAGTAACATGTTACTGTAAACACTGGGTGATGTAATCTACAGAGGTACATGTACTTGCAACTAATAACATACGTTCACTGCATCATTCAATCTTCCAGTTTGACTATAATAATTAGAGCTAATTGCCAAGAAACACTGGGGTGAATAAGAATGTGTCTTCTATAGGGTCTGTGTCTTCTAATAATGTACTTGTGAACTTCACGTTTACCTGAAGGTTGCATTATTTAATTTTTAATATGTAACATCCAATATATTTTTAAATGGTAACAGGATGTAAAATAAAGTAGTTTTAGAGCAGTGCTTCCCAACCTTTGGTCTTGCAGATGTTCTTGGCCCACAAGTCCCAGAAATCTGGGCTAGTACGACTAGTGGTAAAGGCTTCAGGGAGTTTTTGTCCAAAAGTAACTGGGAATCCAAGGCTGGGAAACGTGGTGTTTTGAGCATATATTAAATAAAGATGTGTAGATAACAGCTTAGAGAAACTGATGAAGAACTTTCAATAAACTACATTCCAATTTCTAGTGCTTAAGCAGTATGTCAACAGCAGTCAACAAAATGGCTTCTTCTCCAACAACAATGCATGTATGTATTTGTGGAAAAAATGCATGATGAACACTACTTCCCTGGACCATTTTGTGCTTTGGGTCACCCAACATATACTTCTCCTTTGGATATCCTTCAGGGAGGTTTTGGAGGAAAAAAAGGAATCAAGAAGCAGGATTGTGATATAGGAATTAAATTTCACTGCATCCACAGGATCTCCAGACCTGTGCTGGCAGTTTACATGGGACTTGGAATCTGGATTGGAGTGCTGACTTGATAAGATAAAATATTGTTACATGCTCCATATATAAAGAAACATATACTTTTGAATATTGGCTATTTAAAGAAATTCAATGTTTATCATTTTTGTAGATACTTTCTCCAAAATCTCAAATGCTCAATTAATTAATTAGTGACTCTTGGTACATGATCATTCTTTGCGGGGTTCTGTCATCAATTGCATTCACAGCTGGATAATTGAAGTTTTCTGTGGGAACTTATTGAAGGACTTCTGCCAAATAATCTAGCATATGTTTATTGAAATACCTGGGTCGGGAGTTACAAACCATAAATGCTGTAACGTTTTGACATTCTAGTGAAAGAGAGTACTGTAAATAAGAGCAACAGTATTTGTAGTGTTTTCCTAGTCTTTGTTGAGGAGTTTTGAATTTGTGGTATTTTTGCTACACAGCAGAAGTACGGAGATCTAGAGAGAAGAATAGCTACAAGTCCCTCAAAAGCCATGCTTTCTCATTAATTAGCATTTAAAGTCTCAATAACTCACTTTGAGACATTTGTAGGAGAAAGAATAAAAAAAGGTCTTCACATACAGTTGCTTGAAATTACAGACTAGTGCATGCTGCTTTTTTTCAAATTACACACATACTTAGGAGCCAACTAACTAGACCAACAGCAAGCAACTGCCACCAGCAGATGCAAAAGTGAAACAACACTCTGCAGAGAGGTGGAGCTCTTTTTGAATGTCAAAAGCTGGAAGGAACAATTAGTTAGTGCTGAGTAGACTATTGATTGATTGATTGATTGATTGATTGATTGATTGATTGATTGATTGATTGATTGATTGTATTTCTATCTCGCCCATCTAGACCAAAGGTCTGCTCTGGGCGGTTCCACACAGTGCCAGGTAATGGAGACATACAGTACAGCAAGGGCCATTATGATGATGTGCTTCAAAGCTTCCCAGAGGGATCTGACTAGCCACAATGCTGGACAAATCTCACAGCTTGTTTTGTTTGTTTGTTTGTTTTTGTCTACAACCTCCAGAATCCCCAGCCAACATGGCCACTGGGCATGCTGCCTGGGATAGTCTCACTGTTACAGTGCAATAAAGCAAGGGTCTCCATTTCTGGCAGTAAACCCAGTGCAAGAGGCTCACATAGTATAATTTTGGGGCTCCTACTTCCTGTCCAGATACAACCTCCCCATGTTGTCTCATTAACTGCCGATGGTTAAAAGGGTTAAAGGGAAGTGGGGCTCGCAATGCAGTGCAAGGAGATTCTGCTGAGAAAATGAAATGAGGGGACTGTCCTCCATACAAAATGCAACCTTTTGAAAGATCTTCTATGGATTCCAGTCTATAGGTATCAAATGGGTCAAATATCCTAATTTGATAACTCTGGCCCTAAACAAGGTTATTTGGTATATATTCAAAAACTGTTTTATAGGAATAAATTTTGATCTACTGTACTCAGAATTCAGTTTATTATTTTTATACACACAATGGATTTTGTATTGTAAATGATTTTTTTTTTCCGGATAAAGATTATTTAGTATTTGTTCAGTCCTTACATAAGCAGCATAGGTATCAAGGCTTCGGTCCTATGCAGATCTATCTGGGAACAATTCACCTTCGCGAATACAATTTCAATTAAACTTAATGGAGATTTTTAATAGAATAGCTAAACAGTGAACTTTACTGTATATTATGAGAATCTTCAAAACAGTAAAATAAAACCAATAAATAAATAATAATAATTGTGTTGCATCAAGTCAATCCTGACTTATAGCAACCTTTTTCAGGGCTTTCTGGGGAGAGAGAGAACTCAGAAGTGATTTTGCCACTCCCTTCTCCTGGGGGAGACGTGGTGGCGGAGGGACGTGGTGGCGCTGCGGGCTAAACCGCAGAAGCCTCTGTGCTGCAGGGTCGGAAGACCAGCAGTCGTAAGATCGAATCCACGCAACGGAGTGAGCTCCCGTCGCTTGTCCCAGCTCCTGCCAACCTAGCGGTTCGAAAGCATGCAAATGCAAGTAGATAAATAGGGACCACCTCGGTGGGAAGGTAACAGCGTTCCGTGTCTAAGTCGCACTGGCCATGTGACCACAGAAGATTGTCTTCGGACAAAACGATGGCTCTATGGCTTGGAAACGGGGTTGAGCACCGCCCCCTAGAGTCGAACACGACTGGACAAGAATTTGTCAAGGGGAACCTTTACCTTTTACCTCTCCTGGGGGAACTTCTGGGACTATATAGCTTGCCCAAGACCACACAGGTTGGCTTTTCTGGAATACACAGTGGGAAATTGAATTCCCGACTTCTGACTCTGCAGCCAGATACTTAACTCCCTGAGCTATCCAGCCAGCATAAACAAACTCAAGCTATTTGGAATTCCTGTGACACAATTTTCTAAAATTAAAAATAAATAGAATATGATTCATATGCAAATGCTGTATTCTGAATCACCTTTTGATAGGAAGAGACTCCCAGCCCAGTTTTTACTACTTGAAATCTATGATGAAAGAAATGAGTTCTTTTACTTTTGGGTGATAATTATGATGAGTCATAATGATAATTCCATTTCATGGTTTTATTTTATCCTTTTCTATCTAGTTAACCAAGAGCATCAGACTGTTAGAATATAATAGGTTTAATGGGCATAAAATGAAAACATTCTTCCAATGACTACTGAGGCACTATCAAGACACTAACAAATATATATTATTTTCAATTTTAATATAATAATAATAAAAAAATCCACTGTGTTTATCTTCTAGGTTTTATGCATTTTACAGAATTCGATATTACATTTAACCATTCTGTTTTGCTTTTATTTTCTGCTCTTCTCCCTTTGGATGAATCTTCTTGAGCAGCTCACTGAAAAGGTAATTTAATGTAAAAATCAGGATAAGGTCATGGATACAATACAAATGCAGGAATAGGTGATACCTTTAATTGACCATTAAGAATATGAAACAAAACAAAAAACAAACAAACAAAACAGCAAGCTTTTTATGATAAAGTTCTTATGGGTAGTTCCAAACTTGTGTGCTATTTTTAATGAATTTGGAACATTCAAAAAAGCACATAAGGTTTGGAATTGCTACAAGAACTTGATGCAGAGCCTTGAAGAAGATGGTTTATCATCAAAAGTTTGCTATTTAGTTTTTGTTTTTGTTTTATATTCTTAATAGTCGATTAAAGGTATCACTTACTCCCGCGTTTGTAATTTAATGTATTTTTTTCTTTAACTGGCAATCTTTAGGAAGAAGAAATTGTAGACTGGTGGAGCAAGTTTTACGCTTCCATAGGAGAAACTGAAAAATGTGGTCAATATATTCAGAAAGGATATGCTACAATAAAGGTATTTGTTCACAAAGAATGATATAGACATATGCAATATTGGTTGGTGATCTTTTCAAAAGCACAATTAATTTTAAAACTAACTGGTTTTCCAACCCATCTTCTCCACTTCTTTTTTAATGTAATGAGGCCTTTTCCTGGAGATTGTATAATTCATTTTTGTATAGAGGACATAGGTCTTCTATCAATAACTCAAAACCTGAAAATGATCATTTCCTTTGACATTACAGTGGACCCTCGACTTACAGACGGCTTGACTTACAGACTTTTCGAGTTACAGACTTCTCTGGCTGCAAAATTTAGATTCGACTTGCAGCCGGAGAATCGACTTACAGACCAGAAAAAACCCAAAATGGGACAAAAATAGAATAAAAACCGCTGGTTATGGGATTAATCGGTTTTCAATGCATTGTAGGTCAATGGAGATTCGACCTACAGACTTTTCGACTTGCAGCCACCATTCCAATACGGATTAATTCCTTAAGTAGAGGGTCCACTGTATAATTTTGTACTTTTTACCTGAGTACTACATATATCTGTCCACATGAAAATGCCATAGTGAAATTGCCATATTACAGTCCGTAATATTGCTGTTTTCTAATCTATTGGCTTAGGCACTATACTTTTTTTACAAAATGGTAACATTCTTTCAGAAGGACAATAATTCCCCTTTTACATGTGCTTCCATAAACTAGGAATGCTGTTTTCAATTATTTATATATATCAAAGTTGATCACTGGTTTGTGTGTAACACTTTTTTAGTTGCAATTTTATTTGAAACTCTACACATATTATTTGAAGGTGTATAATTGTGAACTGGAGAAGGTACCTGATTTCAGGAATTTAACAGACTTCTGCGATACGTTCAGGCTGCATCGGGGGAAATCTGAAGAAAATGATGACCCTACAGTTGTAGGAGAATTTAAGGTACAAACGGAAAAAATCCTACATGCATTCAATTGCCCTGTTAGGTAGAAAAGTCACTCATTTGCTCACTTTGTCTGTATTATGCTGTCACTATTGAATCAGTTGAACCTTTTATATTCTTAATGGAATACCATGGCTGTTAGATTTCTGTATGATCAAGAAAAGCATGTGTACATTTTTCAAGGCTTGGCATCTGTGACTTACTAGAAACAAGGATTTTGATTGAAAGGGGCCACACCACAAGTGGATGGCCTTTCCTTCTTCCCTTCTTGGACCAAAGGGGCAGGGAATCACCCTAAGGAGACCGAAAGATGCTGTCGTTGATGCAGGAATCAGCAGACAGACCCACATATCTGGCGGACTTTCCACTGACTAAGAGGGACCTTTGGTTCCAGATAATGATTTTGGGCCAGTCAGTTGTGTGTAGAAGCTTCATGCTATAGCAGGCCAGGAGGAAGGATCTACTACAGGAACTGGGAAACCCATGGCCCATCAGAGCTAGGCAAACTGCAACTCCCACGATCCCTTCCTATCAGCACTACTGACTAGGGCTGATAAGTATTGCACCAAAATCATTTGGAGGTGCCACACAAGTGATAGTGCAGAAAAGTTTCTCTGCTCCAGATCATGGTCCATGTCTGTGTTTTAAAATGGGAGAGAGGGGCCTTGTTTTATGTGGGCTTCGGTCTCGCTTCAAAAATAAAGCTGTATAGTTGTGGGTTCTTGGAATAGGACTCCCAGGAAGTTAGCTCAGAAACAGTAATCTGTGCAATCTCAAGTGTAAGCAGTGAGTTCAGACCGCAGTCAGAGTCCCACTGAGTAGAGAGAAAGAAGCAAAGAGGCAGCAGAAAAAGAAGATGAGGAAGAAAAGAAGCAGCAGCAAGAAAAGGTGTCCCAGATCAGTTCTGGCCTCAGCCCGACCCATTTCTGGCTTCATTCAGCTCTGAGAGAATACTCCTCAAAAGAAAAAAAAAAGTTCTCCACTTCCATTTTGAAATCTCATTCATACAACATACTTATCTGGAAGACATGCTTCCTATGTGACAAACTCTTTTTGAAAGGAATTTTTAAGGCAGGATAAATGGGATATATTGAGCTAAGTATCCTAATTACTCGGTCTTAAATTATTCAACCTGATAATCTGTTCACTTACCTGAGCTGATTAAACACACATACAAACACAAAGAGTGTGAGAGAGAGCTCATAGTTCAAAGAACTGAGTGTAATTAATTTGGGATTAAGAATAGAGTATAATTAGTTTAGTGCTTTTCAAATCAGAGTTGGACATGCCCAATGAGTAGCCTGCAGATGATGCTTCCTTTCTTTTTTACTTCCAAGTAGACCTGTGATGGGGAATTGGATGGGGATTGCCATGCACAAAGTAGCCCCATCCTTCTGTTTCCTAGCCTCCATACAGGGAGACTAAAGAGAGACATTGGTGCCCATGGAAGGCTTTTTCCCCTTTTATTGAAGTCCCTGGGTTAAAGGGGGAATTGCAGAGAAAATATGGTTGAAGAAAAGGTTCTGCACTGGATGCTGGTCCTGATCCAGACTGGACTTCCTCGTGGTTACTTGGAAGTAAAGAGAGAAGCTCAGAGGTGTGCTGTGCATTTAATATAGGTCTCCCCTTGCGTTGCTACTACTCCACATAGCACTCCATTCTTAAGGCAGAGAAAGTCCATAATAAACAGGCAAAAGGGTTCATTTTGGGTTATGTATTAATTTCCCTGTTGCCTTTTTCCTTAGGGCTCCTTTAGGATCTACGCATTACCAGATGACCCGACTGTACCTTCTCCTCCCCGGCAGTTCCGTGAACTGCCTGACAGTGGTCCTCAGGAGTGTATTATAAGGATTTATGTTGCCCGCGCTTTAGACCTCCAGCCTCGGGATAACAATGGACTGGTGAGTCAATGGGAATTGGAAATCTTTGTGATTACAGCACTGTGATCTTGTACCTCTGGGCCAGGATTACATTCTGAGCATTGAGAAGTAGAATGATAAGGATCTAGTGGGAGCAAATGTATAGCTAGGGAGAGCTAAACACATTGAAATGTTTTGTAAACCATTACTAAATGCTTAGTAAAAATGAGATTAAGGAAGATAAGGGTGCCCAGCTCGTATCTGAGATTTGGGTTCAAATTTCTAGACATAGGTATCATCCTCTTTAGAGTGCAAGGGAAACAATTAAGCTTTCAGCTCCTCCAGCAGACCTACTGTTGGATGACCAGTCATGCAAGTGGTTGCATAACCAGTCTCAACCGGGGCGAGACTGGGCATGAAACAAGGAGCCTGTTGGATTGGGGGAGCATTTAAGTGATTGCTCTTTGGCAATCACATAATGCAACAGGATAATAGCCATAGATTCATTGGATTCTACCAAGCAAGTTGCTATTACCATTTCTTGTTCTCTTCCTTACTGTGAGGTAGTAAGAATGGATATTTGGAAGCAGAAATCACCTGAACCATAGGTGAAGTTTCTAGTCAGCAGGTACTCTATGGTTCCCCACAAGGTCTATGCAAAGAAGAGGTGTGTGTGAAAGAAAGACGCAGCTACCCTCGACACTGAAATCAATTGAAGATTGATTTCATCATAGATATAGACCTCTGTATATATAGTACATCATAGCATATGTGAATCAGTAGAAAATATGAAAGGTATTATAGATCAGTTTTACTATTCTAGATTTAATTAACGATATCCTTTTTCAAAACAGTGTGATCCTTACATTAAAATCACCTTAAATAAAAAGGTTGTTGAAGACAGAGATCATTATATTCCCAACACACTGAATCCGATTTTTGGCAGGTAACTTTTAAAAACTTCTTACTGTTTCTTTAAATTAAATTGCTCCTAGTTCCCTTAAACAGCACTATTATGACATTAACATTGAGTTTTCATCTTGAGGACATTATTAATTTGACTTATTTATTTATTTTTATTTAAATTATTTATATGCCACCTTTTGCCCCATAGGGGACCCAAGGTGGTTCACAACAAGTAAAAATGATAAGCATGACATTCTAGTCTATGCTGCTATCTCTTTCATATATATTTACATATGAAAGAGACAGGAGCACGGAATAGAAGGCCGTGCTTTTATTTTGTTTTCTGATGCATTGGCTGATATGTCAAGAGGTTTGGACTCTTCCATAGATGAAAAAATGGAGAAAAGATAGAAGAATTACATGTGTTTTCTGGTACTACAAAATGAGGGATTAATAACTTGGAGTTTCATAAGTTTCAAAAAAGAGGGGTTTTAGGAAAAAAGGTATAAACTGTATCTTTTATGTTGTTGATAGGCCACTGTCCCGATTATAAGCAAATTATGTCCTCAGAAGATAATAGATGAGAAAAAAACCAGTTTTAAAATAGAAAGTCTGTTGCGGCTGCTTACCAGTTTGTCAATATTGTTGAATTTTCTTGTGAGTGATATTCATTTTTTCAACAATAGTTTTCAAAGCTGTGTTAGTCTATTCCAGCATGTGTAACAAAAGCAAAAAGTTTTCAGTCACCTTAAAAGCTAACAATTTTGTTTCCATGTCAGACTGTGTGAATTACAATCCATTTCCTCAGACACATGGAGCATCATAGTTAGGCCACAGGTTTTGATAAACAGAGTATGTGGCAGTGGAATGTGGACTGAGTGAAATGGGAAAAGAAGGTGGCAATTACATTAATACTGTAGTAACTTTTCAGACTGACAGTGAGATTATTATTGTGAAAATGCATGTTCAAGGTATTGATTGGCATTTACAAATATCCTGTAATAGGTGGAGCAATCCATTTGCCTATCAGCTGATGCCAATAGTTGGCTATTGTCTTTAGCATGGAAGTGCTTTTAGGAAGCTTGGTGAGGTGAGAGTTATGTCAAGAGAATGAACTTCTTGACTATAACTGTCTACAAGACTGTAATTAAAACAATATATATATATATATAAGGTGGGCTCTAATGGCGGTGTAAGTTACTTGGTGTAGGCAGATGCCTACAGCTAATTCTTAACTTGTGGGAATTCACAGATGAAATTTATGCCCATGGATTTATGGCAGTGAGTATATGTAATAGGATTCTAGCATATACGTATATATGAATCCCTTGTCTTTAATTCTTTTGATGCTTGAAATTTGTGAATACAGCCTAGTTCAATTCTCTCTCCCTCCCTTCCTCAAATCTTCCTTTGTAATTCCTTTTCTCCGCAATAGTTAACTTTGAGATCTGTAGGAGAACGTCGGAAAAGGTTCAAGTGCTCTCAAACTAGATTCTGTGTGTTGCCATTTCTGATGTCAGATTTGTGTCCATTTATTTTCTTATTTGTTTTAGTTTTTGTTTTTGTTATGCATCTTTTTGGTGTGGTTTTTATTTGGATTTGAAATATACCTGATGTTTCTGAATTTAGAATGTATGAACTAACGTGCTTCCTGCCTCAAGAGAAGGATCTGAAAATTTCTGTCTATGACTATGACTTGCTGACTCGAGATGAGAAGGTTGGTGAAACCATCATTGATCTGGAAAACAGATTTCTCTCCCGCTTTGGAGCTCACTGTGGAATACCACAACAATATTGCATGTAAGTCTCTGCTGTACATATTAAAGCTATGGAAGCTGTTAAACACATGAATAAGGTCTGAGGCCCACTGCTTTCCCCAACTGAATGGTCCTGTTGAAGCTATTGGTTTAGTGAAATGTTGACTTGCCATTCAAGTTTAATTCAATGAATCTAGTTGGAACTAGTATGTCGAAGCATAAATGCCTCCTCTTCAAACAATGTTACTTAAAAGCACCCATCTCACCTCAGTTGTGTCTCATGTTAGCCATATTTCATTAACTCAGGACTGGCCTTGAAACTTGGCAGACCGAGATAGCTGTCTGAGACAACAGATGCTGTCTGAAAGAGCAGTAAATTATTTGTTATTTTTCTGTTTTGTTCTTATGGATGAGAAGAGGTGCTTGAGAAGTTTATTCCATGTGTCAGAACTATTTGCTTTTGCTTATGCTTCTTGATTTGCATGGATGAGTGGCACCATTTGCCACCTCAACTCAGGCAGCAAAATGCTTTGGGCTGGCCCTGTAGTGATTAATAAAATATACTTTGGTTTCCTATCTGTAGCATTGTATACATTAAATATACACCAATTCAGAATTTTGTACACATGTCAATGTGTCCCTAAATCCCCTGTACAGACACGTCTCTCTGTAGGGCAGTTTTATATGAAAAAAGAGAATATTTAGACTTGTACCTTCTGTTGAACTAAATGAGGAATTATTTGTGAGGAGTTCCATCTGCATTTCAGAGTATCAATGTCTGTGGGGGAAAAAGCCAACTGAATCAGAAGAGCTGGTTTTAAACAATTAAGAAAACTTCATCATCACTGGATTCCCAGTATGGTGTAGTGGACAGAGAGATAGGGAAAAAAACCAATTGAATCAGAAGAGCTGGTTTTAAACAGTTAAGAAAACTTCATCACTGGATTTCCAGTATGGTGTAGTGGACAGAGAGATAGACTAGGCAAACAGGGTTCAGATTCCCCCCTCAGGCATGGAAACTGTCTGTGGGAGTAGAACTAGTAAAGCCACTCCTTAATTATCTCACTTACCTTGAAAAACCTATTAGTCATAACACACACACACACACAGAGAGAGAGAGAGAGAGAGAGAGAGAGAGAGAGAGAACCATCAGTGAAAAACATCTTTCATGGATTGCTTTGACTGAAAGTGTTACATTTTTCTTGAAACAAACACCACCCAATTGTTATTGCTGTGCAACTGTAGTAGATCTGCAAAATAATGGCTGAAACCTAATAGTAAGTTGCAACTAGAGTAGGCCCATTGAATAAGTGGAACTTAACAAGGAGTTGACTCACTAAATCCCTACTGATTCAATGAGCCATCTTTGGTTACTGCTTACTTTTGGATTTAAGCCACTATATTACAAAGTTCAGACCCTACCTTTAAGCTTCATAATTGCATCTACCACTTCAGCACATTCAAGTATATAATAATGTATCAATAAATTGTCATTATGTGGGTTGCCCATACAGAATGTCTCTTTTGTCTAATGTGTTCTATTTTCCAAAAAGTTCAGGGATCAATACCTGGAGAGACCAACTAAAACCAACACAACTCTTACAAAATATAGCAAGGGTTAAGGGCTATGGTCCACCAGTCCTCTCTGGAAATGGACAAAGGATTACTTATGGTGGAAGAGACTACACTTTGGAGGAATTTGGTGAGTTATTTCCTAGACAATGGTTTAACTTATTTGTATTTATCATATTCCTGCTGTATTTTCCTAGAATACTTCTCTGAATGTAGAATTTTGCATAGCATTTGTAGTTGTATTCAGTAACTGTAATACAGAAAATGGTAATATGGGAGATCAGCACACACAACTGAATCTTTCCTTTCATGAATAAAATTTGGAAAAGTTTTGTTTTGCTTTGTTTTTGAAGAATAACTTCCATAGTTCTTCAAGGGCAGGGCTTTGGTCTGTCATTTAAAATGGCTTTGATTATTTAATTTATGGGAAAGGGCACAACCCCAGGGTATGCACAAATTAGAATTTTACTTTTCAATAGCTAGAATGTGTTCATCATACAAAAACTTTAATGAGTCCCAAATAAATGTACTGTACTGAATTAAGGAATGTATTAATGCAAATACAGGCACGATCTAATTTCAGTACATGTCTGTGAACTCTTGCTGGGGAAAGAGGAGTAGTGAAGATAGTGAGGAAGAAAATTACTACTTTTCTGTGAATTTCTCCTAAGTGAGAAGGATGGTTTTCATTTGTTCATTTCAGAGGCAAATAAAAAACTGCATGAACACCTTGGGCCTGCTGAAGAACGCCTTGCCCTTCACATTCTCAGGACTCAAGGACTCGTGCCGGAGTACATCGAGACAAGAACACTGTACAGTACATTCCAGCCAAACATCTCACAGGTATTATATACTTAAAAAAACAAAAACCCTTCTGCTTCTAAAATTGGGATTCTTGACATGTCTAAATATACACAATAAATCCTACTCTATAGCTGAGTTTATGGTGGAGGAAATGTAGAAATAAAGTGTTAATCCCTCTTCTGTCTTGTACCTCCCTGCATGTACAATTGTACCACAGCATATCACATGGATAAGATGATGCCTGATTAATCCAATAGCCACTATCCAGTAAAAGGCAGTGGGAATGCTCAGAAAGCTCATTGATTGGGACTGAGGCTTCTGGGAACCACTGCTTTAAGTGGTCGCAACCTATTATATATTTTGTCATAAACACAAAGAAACATTTAATAGAAAAGCATATCTATATTATATCTTTTTGCTGGTTCTTCCACTAACTGAAAATGACTCCTCCTATTCGAATAGTACTCGGGTTGAAAATAATAAAATTTACTGAATTGCATAACCATTTTCTTAGCAGCAAATTTTCCTTAATGTTCTACAATCTTTCTTGGCAAAACCAACTGTACAATGAATCTCCCTGGTCCCATTTAGGAAATCCAACATGTGAATTACCCATATTTTTTGAAGAGTGCCCAATATAAATCCTGATCCTCTGGAAAACTCCAAAGCTTCCTTGATGGTTTGTCTGTCTTATATATTTGCCCCTTTAAAATGTAATAGTAGCTCAAGAATCCATATTTCTGGTTAAAGCACCAGCTTTTAAAAGAATAGTTCTGTTTTCCAAGACAAAACTGACAAACTGCAGAACAATGTTAAAATGGACTGAAGAAAGCCAAAGGAGTTCTATCAAACCTTCTTTGAAATAAGGGCAAGATAGTAGTTGGATAAATATAAATTAATAAATGCCCAATTCTGTATCAGTCCTGTTGTTAAGACCAGCTCCCATTGTCTCCCAATCCTTTTGTTAAGACCAGCAAATAACAAAAAAGAAACCTCCATAAACTGAGCAGGTCATTTCTGTGGTATTACATCTCCTAACATTTATTTTGAAAACAATTAAAATGCATTTAAGCATGGTTATGTCCCTAGGTCCACAGTAATCAATCAATTAGACATACAGAGCAATCTTTAACATGCGTAGGTCCATAGCAATCAATCAACCAGACACATAGAGCAATCATAAATGTCTATTCAGATTTAATTCGTACTCAATTCAGTGAGGCTTTATTCTCAGAGAAATTGGTTTTAAATTATAGCCTTCAGTCTAAATCTAATGGCTAGTCCTAGTTAGCATCGGCCCTCTGAATAAGTGCTTCTGTAGCTGGGACCACACATTGGATTTAGGCCATAGACTGTAGTCCTTTACCTGGATGCTGATGAGCGAGCCACACTGAGTAAACGCATACAGTATAGGATTAAACTGCTAAACACAGCAGATGAAGATAAAATGGCTGAAATCCAGTTGCTTAGCACAATGAGTCACACTGAAGTAGGCCCATTGAATCAATGGGGATTTGGTGAGTCAAATCTTCTGTAAGTTTCATAGAGTAAAATGGGCTTACTCCAGTTGTGACTTAGTTTAACATACTAATGAAAAACTACAGCAGGCTTATTTGAATCAATTGAACTTACGGAGGAATTGACTCACCAAGTCTTCACCGATCCAGTGGGCTTACTCTAGTGCAATTTACTATGCTAAGCAATAGGATTTCAGCCAATTAGTTGTAATTTGGACTGCCATCTGTGTGAGTGTCATATCAATGGGTTTGGTATATGCATACATGGCCTCAGGCCAGTTGCTAGCCTCAACCAGAGTAGATCCTTCAAGTCAATGAGATTGCCAAAAGTGCTGACTCACTACAGTACTTAAATTCTGGACTGCAGCTAGTTTCCCTAGCCCTTAGCAGTTTGAGCCTATATGTGTTTACTCAACTATATTCTATGGCCTAAATCCAATGCCTGGTCCCAGCTACAGTATTTGCATTAAATCAGTTACTGAACAGTAACTCAGCAGCACATATTCAGAGGGCCGATGCTAACTAGGACTAGCCATTGGATTTAGACTGAAGGCTATAATTTAAAACCAGTTTCTCTGAGAGTAAAGCCTCACTGAATTGAGTGTATTCATATACCACTCAATTGGGGGTATTTGTATACAAATCTCTACTTCTGACCACAGTAATCTATTCTGCCAAATAAATGTCTTTTCATAGCAGTCCCTTGTGTGTTCTTATGCAAATATCTGGGCCTGGATTTAAAGAGCTGTTTGGGATATGCCAGGGTCTTGGGCTGTTCCACACACAGACACAGACAGACAGACAGACAGACACACACACACACACACACACATAGAGACCCCTTTGTCCTTTTGTCATCATGTAAAGACCTTCCTTTTCAGGTAGGCCTTTAAGCAGTAAGGTAAGTCGGAAATGCTGTTTTTTTTATATAAATAGGATTTAAATGTTTTTTAAACTGTTACATTTGGTTGTTTTAATCCTAATGTGCTTTTAATTGCTTTTTAATTGTGATATTTATATAGTGTTTAAAATTCCCTATTTTACCTGTTATTTTACCTTGGGTCCCCTATGGAAAGAAAGGCAGCTTATAAATAATTTTAATAAATAAATGCGTTTGCAAGTTTTAAAACTCCCCTTGGTGTCATCCATGCTTCGTTGTATGTAAGTCAGATTGGAGCTGCTGTTCAAGCCAAAGCTTTCCTGGACATACAGTAGAGCTTAGAAATACAGTATTGCCTTTTTGGTCTATACAGTAAATCCTAGAATCCTCTATTGTTTGGACTACAGCTCCCTCAGTTTCAGAGTTATGGGAGTTATTATTTTAAAAAAGTAACATTTTGAAACTCTGCATTGCAGGCCAAGTTGCATAGGTATCATGTCAGACAGGGAATACGGACCCATGTTAAATCAAGAGTTGTTGTTTTTCAAAAGCCTGACATGATTATCTAATTGATGCAGGGGAAGCTTCAGATGTGGGTGGACATTTTTCCCAAGAGCCTTGGACCACCAGGCCCTCCTTTCAATATCACTCCTCGCAAAGCTAAGAAGTGAGTAAATCAGGATGAAGGTCGATGGCATGCTTTTTTCTGCCATCCCCTTTCAGCTATACAATATTGGTATTTTGAACTCCCTGTTGAACGGCAGCAACATCTTTTCACTTTGAAACAAATGCTCTGCAGAGATATGGTGAGGAGTCATTGAAACATTGCGGTGTAGCAGTTTTTCCAAATCTCGCCATACCTAATTTTCTTGCTGGGACTGCAAAAATGAGATTCCAGTCTCATTCCCCAAATGCTTTTGTTTATCTTTGTTTCTCTCTTTTGCTTTTCACTCATTCTTCTGCATGGGAAATGGCCAAATTCTACACAGCGTAATGCCCCTTTCTGGTAAATCCTATACAGAAAAGATGTCATCCTGTGCAGAAAATGTAGCAATCCTGTGCAGCTTGGTGTTCTTTTGCCCTCTCTAGCAGAATCCTGTGCAGGAAAGGTGCCCTGCACAAGAATTGTAATAATCCTGTGCAGCTTAGCATTTCTTGTACAAAAAAAAAAGGAGAAACAGCAAGACTTCCACAAAATCCACAAGAGTTTTTGGATGGGGTATGTGGGAATCTTGCAGAGAGATATCTCACCCTGAGGCTAAAAGAGTGATTCTTTTTCTTCGCCTCTTTCTGCGTGAGAATCTGTGACATCAATGTCCCTATTCCATCCTTTGCTCATTCCTGTCTATTTTCATGGCTGCAACATATCAGCATTGTTTGTACAATGCTGAGCAGAAACACAAAAGCACAAACACTGGGCTTCTCTTTCTTTCTGTAACCTGCACTACAGGTATGAACTACGGGTGATTATTTGGAACACAAAGGATGTCATTCTGGATGAAAAAAGCATCACCGGAGAAGAAATGAGTGATATCTATGTGAAAGGGTAAGGGTACCATATCTCAGATCTTGTTAACAATGGACATACTTGCTAGATAAAAGTCTTGCAGTTATTAAGAACAAATTACGTGATAACTGCTACACATGTAAAATGGGAGGAAGATGTCCCCCCCCCCATGCCAGCTGAAAACTATCTAGGGCTGGCTCATATATGATGTTGACACATTCGTGGTTTGTTTGTTTTTTTTGCTGATCAGTGTGTACACATCATAGTGAATGTATATTCTGTTGGGGCATGAAAGCAGGAGGCATCTAGCTGGCCACAGTGGAAACAGAACACATGTTTTTAACAAAGTACAGTGAGGGCATAACAAGCTCTGTCAACTGCTCTTGCATTATAAACAGCCATTCCCATTCTTGGTGCACAACCAAATCAACTTGCTTCTGACTTTCAGATGGATGCCTGGCTTTGAAGAAAATAAGCAGAAAACAGATGTGCATTACCGATCTCTAGATGGGGATGGAAACTTCAACTGGAGATTTGTTTTTCCTTTTGAGTATTTTCCAGCTGAGCAGCTCTGTACCGTTTCTAAAAAGGTAAGTTTCTTTGATCATGCTAAAGATAAGTGACTTCAGTTACTAATAGCTAGACTATGTGAGACTACGCTGTGTGCCATTTTTACTCCAAAGCCTTTCTTTAAAAAGATACACTGGGAAAGCTATAATTTGCAATGGTAAATCCAGGTGGAGCGGCTGAAGGAGAAAGAGTCCTTGTGAGCCTCTTCTTTCCTACTGTTGTCTTGTTCAGATTTGTTGGTTTCTGCCCTGCTGGTTATCCATATACAGAAGAAAAGACGGAACACCTGTATGTTTTCTGCTGTGGGTGAAAACCCCGTGAAGCAAGATTGGGAGATTCTGAGTGGAAACTGTCTAGGATGGAAAGAGAAACACAGCTACTCCCAGTGCCCTTCTTCCATTGACATGGAGCCCCCTACCCATATTTTTCTCTCTTGCACAACAACAACACAGTGGCCAAAATCCCATTGTGCAACTATGCCTGCACAAATCAAGGCTGTGGCCACAGTAGTTGTACTAGCACGGAGTTAGAAACACTATCCACAAAGCACTTCTGCTGGCACAGTGGGTGTGCTTCTCTGGGTGTGTCACCAATCACACCATTGAATTGAACAGTTCCTTGTTGCCAGGTGTGACTCCCAACACATTTATTTGGGAGTAACTTTATGTTACACCAGCATGAACAGGATTTTGCCCTACACGAAATATACTTACTATAATGCCAAACATTATATAATGCCTATATTATAATGCCAAGCATTATATAGTGCAAGATGGTTTCCCACCTTCTCTCTCTACACTGTTATTTATGAAATAAATAAAAATAAAAATAAATCGCTGTTACAGTGGCTGCCTGGTATAGCCCCTCCTTCCATGCCCCACTTTGAGGTGTGTCACCCCATGGCCTTGCCATCCCTTGCTTTATGATCATACCACTGTGTATTAGCCAGTTTTCAGGACTACTTCACTCACAGGGTCCTGTACTTTGCAAGGATTTGCCCTGCAGTGGGCCAGTTGCTTCAGAAAGCTCCCCAACAGCTGCCCTGATACATCAGTATTTGCTGCAATGTGATAATGGTTACCCAATTTCTCCAGGGTGCCCACATGGTCAGTTTCTTATTCTGAGGGGGAACTTGAGGGAAGGTATGCAGACAGCTGCAGCAGGAAATCAGGGTTATGAAGCGTATTCTCTCCCCCCCCCCCC